TATAGATATGTTGAAATTTTTGTGCAAGATTTGCACCCCCCAAATACACATTTTTAGCCGAATCCTTTGAAATATGGTAAAATGCGAAACATCGACCTAAATTGAAAACTTTCTTCACCCCTTATAATCCAAGATGACAAATAGAGGCCAAATCGAAAATATAGCAGAACAACATAGCATGTAAATAAGTAAAAATAGTTTTATCCACCTCATAATTGAGGTCAGACTGATTTCAGAATAGTCAATTACTATTTTACACCCATTACCGTAATATGGGAACTAATTTTATTTGTTATTTAAATTGTAAATTGGAGACCCCATAAAGTCCATATTTTTCATCATAGTATAATTCAATGACGATTCAACAAACATTCGGTCCCGTGCTACTTTCTTATATTTGTAATTTGTTCATGTTTTCACAATTTATTTCATATAGATGTATATCCCAAATCTACGTTCCCAACCAATATTCTCTTGGGGGTTACAAATTCAATAGAATACAATGTTTTCTTTTCTGACCACACATTAGATGTGAAAGTGGTCTTGGGGATACTCCAATGTGGGGACTTTACATGAATAAATTATTATGTGGCAATTATCTGTACGATGGTTCCTTACCCCAGGGTAGCATAAATACAATTTTTAGTGGTCAAGACCAATATGGGCCCTACTCCAAACATTTTATGCGAAGAGGTTCTCTACCCCCTTAGAAACAAAGATGACAAATAAGGGCCAAAAAGAAGAAAGTGGCGAAGACTCCAAAAATGGCTTAAATCATACGATGATTATTTATGATCGATATGCAAAAGCGATTTAAGGTATCTTAAATGTTCAGGAAGAATTTTTGGAAGGATAGAAATACTTTTCTTACTAAAAGTCCCATTCGCTCTACTATTATATTTGGTATTTTACTGATTGTACTCTCAAAAATTTTTGCATTTTGAGCTCTCATTGGACGGATTATTGTCACATGAAAGAAGTAGGGCCACGCTTTGAAATAAGCCCCATTAGTCTTTTTCGGTCATTTTTGTTTGTTTAAATGTCTGCGCATCTTCCAGCTGAAGCACGATGTAGGCCCTGGAGTTGAAAGGTAGATGTCAGTTACCATCGTATTTCGCACTTATTTCATTTTTTTGGTGAAAAATTGTATATAGTGAAAAATTATTCTTTATTTTGTTCACAAAAAATCCACTGAATTCAATATGATATTACAAATTGAAAAAATTTACAAAAGAAGAATAATAAATTGAAAAAATCTTCAACTTGTTCGCTGATTTTTTACAGCAACTGTTTAAAGATTCTTACAAAGTTTGTCAATAGAATGTACTTTTATTTTAAAATTCAATTCGATTGGAATTTTTTTCGATATTTTCTCGTTTTGAGAATTGTTGCAATGAGATCTCTTTTTCCGTGATCTTTTTAACAATTTTGAAAAAGTAATTATCTTTTAACTTTGTTGTGACCGTATTAAATTATTTCGGTATCTTCTATTCCGTTTCGCCACCACATAATTCGGTACTACACTTCCAGGTAACCCGCCTTCAATTTCAGTTCTCAAGAAATCAAGTCAATTAAATAAATTGGTATTAATATTTGAATTCAAAAATAAAATATAAAAAACACTACAAATGTACATTAGAAAAAAGTAAGTCAAAATGAAAAAAATCATGCAAAATAAAACATTACTATTGTACATTTCAAAAGTCAAAATGAAAATGTTAACATATCACATTTTTACGCGATTTTTTTGTATATTATCCTTTTCGGATAAGAGACAATTCCGAATTTGTATGAATCATTAAAATCAGTTCAGCGGTTCTTAAGTTATAAGCGTAGTAACTAACACAACTTTCATTTATATATATAGATATATAAAATATAGTTAAGTTAGCAACTATGCTTATAACTCGAGAACTGCTGCTCTGATTTTGACAATTCACAGCATTTTAGAAACATTTCTTGGCAGAAAAGTAGAAAAACATGCTTATAAAAATGTGAATAATTTTTTAAGTTTGGTCATATATTTTATATTTTTTCTCAAATTTTTACTGTCATTTGATTTGCAATTTTGAATTGAATTTTTTTTAATTTTTGAATTTTTTTGTATATTAAATCAGTAAGGAATGGTAAAAAATCAGGTGGGGCCGACTATATGATACCCTACATCACTACCGATTAAGATGTTTTCAATTGCAAGCAACTTCAGATTGCTGTCATTTTTAAGCCAATAGTCCGATAGCTGTTAAAATTATTCCAGTGACAGCTTATTATATTGTTTACAAGCGTACAAAAGCATTTTGGTGAGAATTTTCCAGAAAAAAATATATTCGCGGTGGAATTCAAGCGTGATATTGTGATTTTTTTATATTTGGCTGGAAGCCAAATAGCCACTATCCTTAGAGCACTCCATTATTTAAATGTGAGTAAATATTTTGTGTCTCGTACCATCGCTCGTTACCGTGATGACGGAAGAAAACAACAACATCAGCAGAAATGGTTCGAAAAGTAAGGAAGCGACTTGATCGAAAAATGTTTATAAGTGCGGTTGTAAGATTTAGAAGATTTTCCAATAGAATTTTAGTTTTACATAATTCTTTGGTTCCTCTTCTATTGAGCTTACGATCTCGTCCCTTGGGTAAAACAGTTTTTTTTTGTCATAGGAGTTATTTTAAATAACTTTTGGGGAGAATATCCCAGGCAAAAAACAAGGAAACTGATGAGGATTGGTGGCTCTTTCCGAAACCTAGGTATTCCCTGCCTTACCCCCTGGTAAACATTACCATCGTTCTCCACTAATAAACAAATGTTGTTTTTAAAAACAACAATAATGGGATTAAGCCTAACGATTTTTGCAACAAAAAAAATGTTCAAACTAATGTGGCACAATTTGGTAATTGGAGTTTTTAGCAAGAATAAAACATCCTTTAAAAAATGATGGGAGGGTGGTGTACCTTTTGATATAACCCTAATATGAAGGTATCCCCTGATTTCAACTATTTCTGGGATTTGGCCACATTTTTCAATTGATTTGGCCCTTATTTGGCAACTTGACTTCTCAATGAAACCCTTTGAGCAGACTATGTTCAATGTAGGTCAATATTGATTTTACCTACTTCGAGGGTCTTTACCACATTTTCCAATCAATTTTGCTTTAAATGTGTATTAAGGACTAGAGAACAGAAAAACATAGGTACGTATTTTGGTAAAGTCCCCCAAAACAGTATCTCCCAAGTACAACGATCTATTGCGATTTTAAAGGATTGCCGGAAAAATATCGTCGTTAAATTTTTCTATGATCAGAAACATAAACGTTACGGGGACTAAAATGCACAATTTGAGGTGTTATGGTAATGGGTTTAAAGGAGCAATTAGGTTTGACTATTCTAAAATCATTCTGCCCTCAATTATGAGGTGGACCAATCTAAATACCACGCAGCACGATCTTCTAAACATTGCAGCTCATTTGAATGGAAAATGTTGCTAAACTCTGTACTATACTAATGTACTATACTCTGTACTCTTATATGAGGCTATAATAAGCAGTTGAAATATACTTTTTAATAGATGTACTATATCATTTAGACTTCTAACGCACAAATTAAAAGCTGTGGATGAAAAATGGGATCAGGTTTTTAAAACTTTTAAAAATCGACCGGTACGTGGACATTTATTGACATTTTGCCATGGCTATTTATTTGTTTTTAGTCGAGTCATTATTTATAGTAAAAATTGTGCCATTTATGACCCAGTTCCGGAAATCATAATACTACAAAAATATGCACTAAAAACTAAAACTTCGGCTAGATAGTATTTATATATATATTTATTAATAACTTCTTGTGTAAATAAATTCGACCAGTAATTTGATTATAATAACACATGAATAGACGGATCCACATACATAAAACGACTCAGAATGTGATGTGTGTGATGTGTATATCACCAAAAGGAACTATATGTGCAATATTTTTCTTTTTATCTCTACCAAACAATAAAAATAATATTCTGCATCACAGCGTGGCGTAAAATATAAAAATCAATGGGAGTACTCGATGATGTCAAAAACTTAACGTATTGTAATTATTAATACTGTTAAAATATCGCCCTATTTCTCTTAGTATTTCTACAACAAAGATCAACGAGCATGCGGGATTTCCACAGAAATTTTCTGTGTCTGAAATCTTGATCGAATCGCATTGTTGTGGTGAAGATTATGAAAATCACCACTATTGGTTGATTATTATCACAACGTGATCATTTCATACCACCCTCTTTGCCTCTTTGGCTCGTAGTTTATCTAGTTGATATTTTTCAAGCTCTTAGCAACTCCGAAGCCTTTAGCAAGCTCTCAGCCAGCTCTTATTAACCGATCTCTTTCGAACCTACGATACTACCAACAGATTACCATCGAGTCAGCAACACCCATCTGATTTTCAACGAGGCAATAAAAACTACTAGATCACCAGACAAGTTATTGAAAATATCGAGTATCGGGATGTACATTAAAATCACAGATATACAAAGTCGTTGACCTGTTTAGACAAAATTTTTGTCAGAGAGAGTTGTTTACATTATAAACTTTGGATAACAAAGTTTAGAGAAACCTATTTTAAAATCTGACAAACATACGCTAACAGTGGGACGGTGGGACAGTAGGAACTTTAACCAATCCAAGGGAAAATGTGACTAAAATTGTCACGAACATTGAAGAAGCGTTATATGAGGCTATTCAAAAACATGGAACGATATTGCCCATTTTCGCGCATGACCTGCTTGAGAGCCAGAGATATCTTGGTGCGTAATCTTACCTTTCTATCACAAGTATTTATAGGTCCACATTTAGATGTAGGCTTCATACAAATAATCTCATATTTTAACTCTCCCAAGCTTAGCAGCGAAAGTCGGGAATATGTTAAACGGAACTTATTGTTGTCAACATTTCCTTTAAGTTAATTACGAAAAAAAAAGAACAACATGAGTAACAAAATGTCATATCTTACCATACCAATTTTCCACAATTGGCTTTAGATTTTCTTACTTGATCGGAATGTCTTGAGGATAATTATTTTCATGAGACAACAACGTAATTCGATTGTTCTTTTTCCCTGAAAGGATATTTTCTTGCGATTATAGTAGGCAGTTATTGTCTGCGGCTTTTCGTCCTATTGCGTTTATTCACCAGAAATAAAAAAGAGGCTTTTATTCCATTTTTTTATTTTATGAAAAAAAAATAAAATTTTCATATTAATTTTGATTTTTTGACAATTCAATTCTAGCTTACTGAGACCTTTTTTAAGAAAGTTTAAATAACTGACTGACTGATCGAGAATCAACGCCTAAACTTGAATCTTGAAATTTTACACGGGGGTAAGTCTTAGTGTTAAATGGTACTAAATTTAGAACATTTTGAATGAATGGTGCCCAATGTCAAATGGGTGAAGGGATATGGCTAGAATCCTTAATTTGATATTTAGGTCTTTTGCAATGTGGAATGGAGTGTGTCTGGATATGGCTATTATAATTATAAGTACTAAATCGTATTCAACTTGTAATGGGGTGAAAGGATAGAGCTGGAATTCCGAAATTTGTCATTGAGGTCTCTGTTGGTATCTGGTATTAAGATGTGGAGTTGGTTTTGTAAATGTGCACTAAAATTGTACAAAAAGTACAATACTATTGGGTGTAGGTATAGAGCTAAAATCCTAAAATTTGATATGGTTGTCACTTTTGGTGTCTACGGTGGAGAGAGGGAGGTGGTCTTGGAAATGCCCACTATGAACATACAACATACGTACAAAGTACAAATGCTTGAAAATGTGCCTTATTGTTTTTGTTAAAGAGATGGTGTTCTGAAATTTGGTATCAAGAGCACTGTTGGTGTCTAGGGTGGAGAAGAAGTGGTTTTGGATAAATGTAGTATAACTGAATGCAAAGCATTTGAATGAATTTGGGTTGGGGTTTTATGATAGAGATGGCATTCTTAAATTTGACATTGACTAAAACGGAATATTTTTAATCCAGGCGAAATCGCAAATACATTATAATGTCATTCCTGACCGATACAATGATGCTGAAAGACAAGATATCGGGTACATAGCAAAATAGGTAAATCGATATGAACAAGAAACTGTTGTTACTTATGAGCCAAGAGCCGCTGGATTGAGTTGGACAGTTTTCACAAGTTCGGAATGTCGTCAAATTTTTATCGCAAGCCATTTTTTCATATTTGACTTACAATTGATTTCTACATTTTTAATATTTTTTACACCCTGCAACACTATGTGTTGGGGGTATTATATTCAGGTCGCAAATATCGTCCGATTCTCACAAAATTTTGCATGGAGGTAGAGTTAGGATCAGAATATAAGCCTATTGTTTTGAAGATGTATATATAGGGGTTCAAATGGACCAACAAAAATTAAAATTTTCCGCTCTACGAGTCACAAATTAAAATCAATCGACACAGAACTTTGCATGAGGAGAGAGTTAAGGACGAGGCAGAAGTCTAGCATTTTGGAAATAGCTTTTTAAGTGAAAATTTTTTGAATGGGGCAAATGTCTCGGTCAAAACTCAAAGGTAACATTTGTGCAACACTGTATAGAATATTATCTCAAAAACCTCGATTAAAACCGGGTTGCACCTTAGGAGGTTTTCTAATATATACTATAGTGTTGTAGGGTATAACATGGTCGGCCCTGCACGACTATAGCCTTTGCTTACTTGTTTACAAAATTAAGTTCCTCGCTTTATTTCCAGCGCACAATGACCAACAAAATCTCCGGATACCAATCCGTCGGACCATTGTGTCCGGAGTATTTTGGAAAGCAAGGTTGGCACTAAAAAATACCAAAAAGTCGATCACCTCAAGCAATCGCTTCGCTGGGCATGGGCCAAAATACCGGAGAACAACATTCGGGCAGCGTGTGACGGTTTTATTGGTCGTTTGAAGGCCATAATTCGTACCAAAGGTGACCGATTCAAGCAAATTTAAACTTATTCTAAAATTTGATGCTATTTCCGACATTTTCTGCTTTCATTCAATAACATTTTAAAAAAATGTAAAAATTATGGCGTTTGATTTGTTGCATTTATTTTTATCTCACTCTGTATTTTCCATCTGATTTATTATTTTTGACCTCCGCAGCCGTAATATGCACTAAGTAACAATGATATTTGGTATATTATCCCAAATTCATATTATCAAACACCTTTGCTAAATTTTCTCCGTGATCATAATTGTATGATTTAGTTCTCACAAATGCAAATTGGTGTAGGGTATAATAAAGTCAGGCAGCCCGATTTTAAGGTTTTCTTTATTGGTTTAAAGGTAACTCTACAAAATATACCTAATGTCGTATGGTTTCATAGCCCGTCTATGCCCTGTTTTTTTAATGTTTTCTCCATTATATGCTGGAGCGTATTAAAAGTTTGGCCCGACCGAAGTCTTTTTTGTTCCTTTTGTTTTTTCCTTTTGTTTGAACTCTTGCACACTTCAGATTAATTGGTTTGAAGAAAAAGTTCGTTAATTGATATTCAAGAGTAAACGTCAGCGAAATGATGCCATGTTCAGTGTGTACTTTCTGTTTGAAGACAGCCAGACACAAAAGATGTTGGTCTCAAGCAAATACTGAAGCTGAACAGATATGATGACTGAACCGCTATGGGGTTTTATGCTGTTCCTTGAACCGTATTTTCATTTGTCTCGCTGTACATCATCTTTGTTTGAGTTTTCTTCTATTATTTGGGAGTTTGGGGAAATTCAATCAATGTAAATAGTGTAAGTTTCGGAAGTGGGTTGTTGTTGGTTGCAAATGTTGGTTCTGATGTGTCACACAAAGTCAGTGAGAATTAAAATATTGGGTCAAAAATAAAAAAAAATAATTTCAGTTGAATTGTTTTTTTTTTTTTAATTGAATAATTTGTTTCTTAGTTATGTAATCAATTTAAAATTATTTATTATACTATTATGTACTTTAAAGCTAATATTTTATTAAAATTTTATTAATTAAGATAACAAATTAAATAGCGTTTGCGAAAATAAAAATTCACAAATATCCATTTTATTGGAATAAAATGTCCACATCAATAGTTTTGTTGCGTGGCAATTAATTTTCTTTGCTGCACTTAGTTTTTGCACCCTTTGGGTGGATTGACTACCTCACCTGGAAAATTCTGTCAGCCAACTAAAATTTAATGAGTTTTCAGAACAAACTTCGTACAAACAAGACGAAAAATATGTTCAACTATTCGATCCTGCAGATACACAAATACAGCTACAGTCATTAGCCAGTCAATAATGTTGAAACTTTTGCAAACTTAGATCTTAGAAGAAAAGTGCATAATTTCCCCGTCTTTTGTGCTTCATTTCGTGTCCTAAATGCAAAATGAATGTTTTCTATAATTACTTTCTCTGTCGTATTGCTTCGAAGTTGCCATTCAATGACTTTATTGGACTACTCAGGACGTGCATAGGAAAAAATTAGTAATAGATTAGTTTGAGGTACACTGGCGCATTGGAGGAGATAAGTTTCATTGATGGAAAATATTCATTAGAAAATTTTCCCCATACATTACCTTTTAAAATGAAGTTTTCATTTAGAATGCCAATCCTAGTATGTATACGCACCAAAAAAAAAAAAAAAAAAAAAAAAAAAGAACAAGAAAAAATGAAATTAATTTTAAATATGAATATTTTTTGAAGGGTAATTATGACTTAAGTAGGTACATCCAAATCTAACTCGATTCGAATTAAATGGCTATATATTAACAAGTAAAAAAGCTGTAAGTTCAGCCGGGCCAAACTTTTAATAACCTTCCTGCATTTGGAACGAATTTGGTCATTTTCAAAAATAAAATCCGTTAAAAGTTCTATTAAATCCCCAAAAATACCGAATGTAGCCGTTATATCAGAGTCTAAATGACGACGTGGTCCCGCATAGGCAACTTTTTTAATAATCCATTCATCCATAATATTCAAATGCGAAACTTGAAAAAAATTCGGTGTATAATGTAGATAAAATAAACAAAATACAGAATATAGGGAGGTATCGTTATATTGGGGCTTTACGAAGACCTGGACCGCACAGACATTTTTCTATCTTAGGCTTCAAATACAAAATTTGAAAGAATTCCGGTGAATAATGTCGCTAAAATCATCAAAATACCGAATATCGGGAGGAATCGTTATATGGGGGCTATACGAAGACGTGGATCTGCACAATCTCCTGTCATTGATTGTAGCATCCAATACGAACATCAAATATAAAATGTGAAATAATTCCGGTAAATAATGTCGCTAAAATCATCAAAATACTGAATATCAGAGGGTACCGTTATATGGGGGCTATTCGAAGACGTAGACCTGCACAATCAATTTTCTGCCATAGGCTGTAGTATCCATTACGAACTTCAAATGCCAAATTTGAAAGAATTCCGGTGAACAATGTAGCTAAAATCATCAAAATACCGAATATCGGTTGGTACCATTATATGGGGGCTATACGAAGACGTGGACCTACATGCCCCATTTTCAATACCAAAAGTCCTGCCCATTTGAGTAAAATTTTATCAACATACTTCATTTCGTTCGGAAGCTAGAGTGGTTTCCACAGACGGACGGACATTACTAAGTCGACACAGAATTTTATGCTGATCAAGAATATATATACTTTGTGGGGTCTAAAGTGTATATTTCGAGGTGTTACAAACGGAATGACAAACTTAATATACCCTTCATACTATGGTGGAGGGTATAAAAACGAACCGGACACAAAACCTACTAGAATTCAATTCGCATTGCTATTTTATCGTCTTCTGCAGTTGTATTCAAATCAAGGCTGATTTTAATGCAAGCCTAGCACCACTATATCCATGGAAAGGACTTACAAAAAACAACGAGTAAAGGAAAGTGTGTATCTAGCCGCAAGTAAATGCAAAAGTTTGTTTAGAGAACTTTAGTTTAAATGTTGGTCCATGTACTACAATAGGAGGAACTCTTTTACAACTTGACACAACTCTACGGATGGTTAAATAAAGTGTGTGCATTCAATGTATCATCAAGATCTGTAAAATGATGTGCCTAAAATTGCATCAAATTTCTAATACACACATGTTACATACAATGCTGAAGTCCTAGGAAACTGTTTAGATTTCTGTACATTGGTATGTGAATTTGTTTTATAGCCCA